TAAGAAAATCCAGTTTTTCATGTGGAAATGTTATCATTCACGTCTACCTACTAGGGAGTACCTAGGGAAAATTGGTATCAACATAGACACAACCTGTCCAATTTGCAAAAATAGGGATGAGTCCATACTTCATATTTTTTGGGAATGCAAGGTGGAACAACTTTTTTGGAGATCTATAGGGGTGTCTTGTACTAACCCAATGACTAATGAACACTGGGTAGATTTCCTACGTAAAAAAACACCTCAAATACCTACTAAGCTCATCACATGGGATGATGTTTTCTCATTTGCAATTTGGGCTATTTGGAAAAACAGGAATGAAAACAATGTTAACAACACCAATCTTTCTATTAATACAACGAAGGTCTTTCAACAAACACTTGAATATCACTTGCTCACATCCAAGTCCACTATTAGTAATATTCCTATAAAGGTAAAATGGCACCCACCTCCAAGAAACTAGTACAAGTTCAACTTTGATGGTGCCTTCAACAATGACTGCCAGCATGGAGGAATCATTGGAACCATACGCAACAACAAAGGAGAATGGATATTGGGTTACTACGAGAAGTGTCCAATAATATCACCTATACAGGCAGAACTCCTAGCTCTTCGGCAGGCACTTCAAACGATTATCAAGGAGAAGATCATCCCATGTGAACTAGAGACAGATGCCACTGAGGTGATTCGTTTTCTACAAGAAGATTATCCTACTTACAGTGATTTAATTCATGAATGCAGGTGCTTAATGGGGGCAATGCAGCAGAGGGAGATCGTAATGAAGCACAACTTCTGTGAAGGAAACATGGTGGCACGCAAGATGGCCAAGGAAGCTCTAAAGTACCCTAGTTATAATATAACTCGTTATTTTGTATCACCACCTACCTTTGCAATGGATGTGTATTGTAAGGACCAGGAAGGTTGTTATGTTAGGTCGTGTAGTATGACTGCATGTAGCACTCTAGCACCTCTAGGTAATGACAATGCCCTATATGGCACGGCACAACTATGTACAATGGCAACTCTATGGGTCTTGGACCCTAGTACTTGCTACTGTCTTTATTAATATTAATATAAGTATCTTTTCCCTTAAAAAAAATAGAACTCTCCGTACAGAGAAGTTGAATAAACAATGTTCTTGATCTAGATTTAGAGGGAAAAAAGAGTAGGAGGCGAGATAATTTTAGGACATAACAACTACGGTAACGGTATCATGTTTACAAATTCAGTAATTTTTCTATATATCGAGTTTGCTCTTTTTACTTTTATTATATTTACCTTGTAAAGAGAGGGAGAGAAAAAGTATTGGGGCATGCCCACTGTCCTCAAGGATTATTAAGAAAAGCTAGGAATCTGACAAATATTAAGACCTCTACACTATGCTCAAAAATCAAACTCGTGTCCCTGTTAAAATTGCATGCGGCGAAAATACTTAAAGAATATATTGCTTACTGTAACTCTCTCTCTCTCTCTTATCTGATCACACAATATTAGAGGCACAGCTAGCTAGGAGTTTAACTTATGAGTTCTAAATTTAAAACGACTATTTCATATCCTTATAAATCGATTCCAAATTTAATCTCTTCATATTTTTGTTAAATTTTTTAATATAAATATATTATTTATGTAAAAGCTACTAATTAAGTTCGATCAAATCCGTATTTGGACTTGTACTACCGGCTTTGCAGAATATATGTGATAAGTTAATTTTGTAGTGTTTTAGTTCTTTTTGTTATTTTCCATCTGGGGATTCTGATGAGAAGAATAAACTACCAAGTCACCTGTTGAAAAGCTAATTAAAAAGATGCTCTGGATGCAAGTTTTTTGACAAACCTCAAAATCTACCTAACGTGGTAGATAAACTACTCTTATATATATGAATATGATAGTTATTCGAAAAGGAAGCTAAGGTGTTTCTGGTTGAAATTGAGTTTGGTATATATGTCCTTAATTTGAGTTATCTTTGATCTTCACCCTACTTTATTCCCCAACATCTTTCCATATTTTATGATAAGTGTTTTATCATCACCTTTCTTTCCTTTCAAATTAAAACTGTTGTTGAAAAATCAAAATTTACAACGTGCTACTATTTTGAGAATACGTAGCCATACAGTGCAATACCACAATCCCGAGATATTTCCTCGTAGTTACAATCATTGGAATGTTTTGCTTTTACCTTAAGAAACTTCTAACAAAACAATAAAAATTATAGATCTAGAGAAGGACCTCAGAATGTCACTGCAGTTTAAGCAGACGCGGAGCTAGGATGTCAAGCTTACGAGTTCGGAATTTTAATCGTTTTAAGTTAATGGGTTCTAAATTAATAATTTATACATATTGAATAGATTTTTAAAACAAATACATGGTTCGAACCAAAGCTACTGGGTTCGATCGAACCAACTCCCGGCACTCGATCGATCTCCGCCCCTGAGTTTGAGGTACAAATATCCATATACGATCACCATGTAGTATTAAAAAACAATGGCAGATTAAACCATGAATTTAGGGGCCGGGCTTGGTAGAATTTAGTGTTTTGATATGGAAAATTTTATGTGAAATACATTGTAAATAGAGTTAGATATACATTTTCAAACTTACTCTCTCAACTCAAAATTTACCATGTCTAAATTTTGGATGTGCTAGTGTATACAAGAGCTAATTGAAGTTCTCCCGATTTCGATGTTATTTAAATTCTATTTTAAGATCATAGTTGATTGGCTTTAAAAAGATTTAAGCTTTTAGTTAGTTTCATAAATTGATATGATATTATTCTAAAACCGGCACAGGTAAAAATATCAAATTAGTTTGGAATATTAGAAGAAAAGCAAAATGCTAGCTGATCAATAATTACTGAGAATGTAATCTTTGATATGATTTCTTTCCTCAGCTTGAAAGAATAAAAGAACAATTAATGTTTCAAGAACATTCATTGCACACACATAGTAACACGAACCTCAAATTCTGCTATGTGCCTTTGCTATATATCCTACATGTGCTGCCGCCGAAATCCTATCTTCCATAGATTCTTATGATTAAAGTTAATAAATTCCTTTTTCCACTCAAACCACGTACGTACAGTTGAGTTGTTGGGCTAAACATGCTCAAAAAATACTTTCTAACATGATTAGATTTTATTCAATTTTACCCAAAAGGCCTCATAGTACTATTAAAAATATTCAATACTTTATAGGTAATTCCCTTTTCTCTTCCATATATTTTTAGTTAAGTCTGCGTTGATTTCAAGGATTCGGGTCTTTCGAGACAACTTTCTTTCATGTGATTTTAGGTCTACCTCGTCCCTTTTTAATACCTTCCCCCACTATACTTTCACACCTATAGACCAGTGCATCTGTAGGTCGATGCAGGACATGACCAAAACCATCCATCTCAAGCGACTTTCTCTCATTTATCGTAAATGTGTGCTACTTGCACCTTCTAGAGAATGTGGTCATTTTTTATTTTACATTATCTTGTGTGACTGTTCGTCCATCTTAGTATTTGTATTTCTACAATACTTATTTTTTTTCCGATATGTTTAACTTTAGCAGTCCAATATTCACTACCATATAACATAGCCGATCTGATAGTTGTTCTATAGAGCTTACTTTTCACCTTGGTGGGCATCCTTCTATCACATATCATCCCTGTAGCACTTCTCCAATTAAACCATCCAGTTTTAATCCTGTGAGTAATATCTTTATCTATTATTCCATTCTCCTAAAACAACGTGCCTAAATATCTAAATCGCTTGCCACCGCATTCCATCTAGTCTCACATCAACTTCATTCTTCTTATGCTGACTAAACGTGCAATGCATGTACTCAAATCTCACTTTACTTGCCTTAAAACTCTTACTCTCTAAAGTGTTTCTCTATAGCTCAAGCTTTCAGTTGACACCTTCGCTAGCTTGGTCAATTAGCACAATATCATTAGCAAATAACATACACCATGAGGCCTCATCTTGTATATTTCGTTGGTTAGCTCAATGCAGAACCTTGTATAAACCCACTGTGATGGAAAAATCCTCCATATCTCCTATTACTGTTTTTATGCTAGTACCAGCTCCTTCATATATGTCCTTTAACTATGACATTTATATATTTAAGATGAGTTCCTTTCTTCTTCGTGTTATCATGACCTTCATGATAACATAATCTCTTAATACTTAGTTTTAAAAATTCAATCCAGCCGTTGATTCAGGGTCTAGGAAATCATATTGAAAGACGCCCAATTTGTAAAATTTTATTCTGCATGAGGCAAAGTAGTCTTAGAAATAAGAAAAACAAGTATATGTTTGATTTTCGTGATTAAAAGAAAATTAATTTCAAAAGGCGAGATGACCTGGAGATAATATAGTCTGTCCAAACAAGCTATCCAAATAAAATCTTCAAAGGCAGAAAAAAAGAGAGGTTCTAAACATGTTAATGCGGCGACACTGAGAATATAAACTTAAAGTGGCATTTTTTTTAGTTATCTGCGAGGAATATGTGTATTCACCAGAATGACGTTACAAATTGTTTCATCTCCATACATATTGAAATGTCACTTCATACTTTTGCAAATGAAAAATGCCTCCGAATATCAATATCCAAGAGTTTGTGACACACTTTAGAATCTTCACGTTTTTTTGTTTTTCACCCGATGCTTTGTATTCATATAGGAGCCAGATTAAATCTTGATTTGCACCAAAAAATCTCACATTAATGGATAAAGCGCTCATTAACAAATGCGATTCAACTTAAAAATGAGATTGTTAGTTAAGAACCAAGAAGTAACCGCTCCTCCACAATCCTTATTGGCGAATCTTCATGTTATTACTTTGTTTTAATCCTGAGGAAAATCAGTTAATTAACACTAAAGCTTTAAGTGGTTAACTTTTTATCTAATTATTTGTACATACCAAAATAAAGAACTTTTTTGCTATATAGCTTTATATATATATGGTATGAGAGTGTGGTTTTTTCATGACCAAAATTCTGAAGAAGAACGTGAGAAAGAGATGATAGCATATATAAACATTGTTGCATTTCCATTTTAAACAGAAATTACATTCAACATTCGGCATTTCCCATGAAGATCATGGCCTAATATAAAGAGCCATGAAAGCTGGGAAGATTGACATAAAGTACAAAAGTTAGAACCCAAAAAAAAAAAAGAGTCAATATTAGTAAAGCCTCTTTCATTACTAAAGCCAGAGAGCTCCTGCATCTTTAAGCATCTTTTTGAGTGAACCATTGATATGAAGAGTCATAACAGTGTTGGCTGATCCCACAAATCTACCACCAATAAACACGGCCGGAACGGCCGGGCTACAGCCTAACCTGAGAAGAGATCTCTCCATTTCACGACCATTGATATCTTCATCAAGCTCATAAATCATAGGGCTAACACCTTGTTCGTAAAACAACCTCTTAATTGCATGGCACATGCAACATGTACTCTTGCTGAATATCACCACTGCCTTTTGTGATGCCACCTTCACTACACGATCCATATTTAATTTTTTTATATGGAAAAATTGAAATTTTTAGGGTTTGTTTAAATTTTGTGATTTTTCTTGAAGTTGGAATTGCTAGATAGTTAGAGAGAGTTGGTTTTGAGATGGTAATGAAAATATCAATGTATAAGGGATGTTTATATAGGGGGGAAATGATGATATGAAGGTGGTGGGATTTGGATATGTGATGAATAGTTTATTGTATTTGAAGAAAAGGAGATGGGGAAAAGTGAAAATTCTTTAAGATATTTGGATAGATTCTAGATTCTTGATTATGCCACGGTACAACTATATGCAAAATTCTGTTTCTTTGCTTTGATGGTAGGTTTAGGTTTGCAAGAGCCAAGAACTATATATATGGCCCCCTTTGCCCTAATTGTGAAAATGACACCTATCCCACATTCCCATTTCCTACTATTACGTCATGCTTTTACCCTTCTTTTTTCTTTTTTCATTTGCTATTTAATATCTGCATTTGGACTTGATTAAATTCTGATTGAAGCTTCTGATTAAGAATGAAAAAATATTCCACCGCAATCCTTGTTGATCATGCTTTTACTTAGTTATGTGGCAAGAATCAAAAGGCCATTATTTTAGATATATACGTCTGATCCCCATAACGCTGACTTAGTGGTAGAATTTATTCCACCCATATCCTAATTAACTAATCAATATATAGCTTTTTCTTTTTCTTTTATAATTGTGGTGTGCAGGTTAGTTTGTACGCAACTCAACTAATTCCGTAAGGTAGTTATTATTTTTCACCAGCACAAATACAAAGTAAACTATCCACCAAAACTTGGGTATATAAGAAAAGATCACTTATGCAATTTGAATTTGGGATCTCACAATTCTCAGCTCACTTCATTGATCAGATGATCGGATCCTTAGAGTGCACCAATATATATATATATATATATATATATATATATATATATATATATATATATATATATATATATATATATCCTTTTCTACTTTATAAATTTAATATCATGTCAGTTACAGAATAAAATTAAACACTCTATTCGATTTAAAACTTGTTGCAACAGACTACTTAATTACTCTCCACGGTCTAACATTGTAAGCAATTGCTTAAATTTCAGTTGGGTTCTAAGTAACTTAATTATATGAATTTCACTATGATTATATAAATTTAAACTCTTTTTCTTTTCCTCGAATTGACATTGTCAGAGTAAAGCATATTCTAACACATTATTATTAAATTAACTAAGAGTCGATAGTTAATGAAATTGAACTAGCCGAAGAAGGTTGGTTAGCCTTTTCAGATAACGAAATTTTTAAAATTTAAATAATTAATAAGTGAGTAGAGAAGGTCAAATTACGACATTTGTGCTTAAAGGGTAGCCGGGACAAATTTAACTAATCAAATTGAGTTCTGTATTCATTCCTTGCAAGTTACGGTTTTATTTTGTTCCGTTCTTCTTTCTGCCTTTATTATACACTGTATGCAGGTTATATTGTAATTGCCCCGCCGTAGCCTCGTCACTACACCTCGTCGAGGTTAGGCTCGGCACTTACCAGTACATGGGGTCGGTTGTACTGATACTGCACTCTTCACTTTCTGTGCAGATTTTGGAGCAGATAGTGGCTGATCAAGAGGTCAGTTGCAGATATTTCAACTAGGAGACCCAAGGTAGTCCTGCTGGCGTCCGCAGACCTTGGCGTCCCCTTTTACATCTCTATATTACTGTTTACTTTATTTCCAAAACAGTTGTAATTTCTTTCAGACCGATGTTTGTAGAAAATCATAGTATGATTCGTGGATTGTGGCACCGGATTCTGGGTGGTAATGGCAATAATATTGGTAATGGAATATAAACAAAAGGCTATTTACTTACTTCCGCATTTATTTCTACTCATTTTAACTTGTATGATTTTAAATCACTGAAACGTAAAGGAAATTGGTTAGTAATACTCTAACGTTGTCTTGCCTAGCAAGTGTGATGTTAGGCGCCATCACGGTCCCGAGGGTGGGAATTCCGGATCGTGACAATAAGGTCAAATTTTAATTTTATACATATGCATTATATAACGGATCCCCTTGACTTAATTCTTTGCATGTTTACTTTTTACTTTTTTTAATTTCTTTAAAAAAAAAAATTACTCTATTTTCCTTATAATGAATGTTGATTGATTTTTGAGATTGCTAGTTATGAGAGTGTATAGGATAGAATGTCAACTGAAGATACGTAATTGAAAAAGAGGGCAAATTAAAGATGACAAGCATGAAAGCAGGGGTATGGATACAGTTACGTGACACAGGACGTCACAATAAATTCTTTGGCGAATTTCTCCTACCATTTTGATAAATGATATAGAGAGGGCATCCTGAACCTGGCTTTTGCTTATTGGTTACGGAAAGAGATATATGCATGTCTCAATTATGGATTCCCAGATAAAGGAAAACATATGGCTTGTCACACTTTTATGTTAATATATGCTTTCAATTATGTGGTACGTAGCGAATGGGTTCTCTAAAGAGACATTTTAATAGTAAAAGTACTCGTAGCTAAGGGCATATATATTATATATAAAAACACAAAACAGTGTTGACTTAAACCATATACAACATGTATATGTGAAAATATTGGAATAGTGTGTTGAGTCCCACATAACTCTTGACGGGGGTTATGGAGGTAAGAATTAGGATAGAAGATTAATCGGGTGTAGAGCGTACTTCTGTCCCTTGCCAGTAGTTTTAGTATTATTCTTGTTTTGTCTATCACTACTAGAAATTAGGCGATTTTCGACCACAATTTGCGACCAAATTTCGACCGTTTTTAATTGGACGGAAAAACAATGGTCGCAAACTTTGCCCGACCGCAGTTGGTCGGAAATTTTCGACCGAAATCGGTCGGAAAAAATTGGTCGGAAATTTCCGACCAATGTTGGTCGAAAAATTCAATGCGTTGACTGCCAGTGTCAAACTTTATTTTCCGACCGAATTCGGTCGGAAAGTATTAAATATTAATTTTTTTGATTTTTAAATTTCCGACTAAAATCAGTCGGAGAATATTATTATTATTTTTTTAATTTTAAATAATAATATTATTTAATTAAATAATTATTTTGTAAATTGTTAATTTATTTAAAAAATAAATATAAATTCATATCACTAATCTGGGGAATTTATTTGAAATTTCCGACCGAAATCGGTCGGAAATTATGAATTTCTGGGCAAAAAAATTAATTTCCGACCAAATTCGGCCGGAAATCTGTGTAAAAAACTGGGCAGGAAATGACTGCTTTTAAGCTACACTACCTGCCAATTTAAACCAATATACTTCCTATAATGGCAACTTACATTGCTGTCATTCATCCATGAAAACCCAACAAAATAACAACTAATAACCACCAACAACTAATAACCACAACCACAACAACTAATAACCACAACAACAATTACTAAAGTGTTCAATAACAATATAATATCATTCAAATAACCAACAACAAAATATTGACAAGTTCACAACTTTGTTTAACAATACACAACATTCAATGAGTTTTCCTTATGTAGCATCATCTTCATCTTCGTTCCCAGGACCTTCATCGCCGGCGGGTGGGGAAGGAGGAGGAGACCGGGGAATGGGGAAAGCACCATAAGCAAGAAGATTGGCCAGCTGACCTTGAAGCATTTCAAATTGTTTGTCCCTTCTTTCTAGCTGACCTTGAAGGGTATCAAATCTCTTCTTTTCTCTAGCCTTGTTCTCTTCAAGCTCTGCTGTCAGCTTTGCGATCTTCTCTTCCATAGAGGATATAGCCGAACTATCAATCGCCTCGCCTTGGGCGGAAGTCCCTATACCTTGAAATCCAGCCCTGTAGCGCCGAAACGATTTATCTGAAAGGCCGTATGCCATCCCCTTTTTAGGACCACCGACAGTATCCAACCATATCCTCTTCTCTTCTTCGTCTGAAATGGGCGGTCGCTCGCCTTGCTCATTCGGTGGCAAGCTGTTTATGTACTCCTCCAAATTGATCTTGTAGCGACCCTTTATTTTGAAGATAGAAAATAACTAACTATATAATATTATAAACATTTATAGTAGTTATGAAACTTACATGTGTAGTCTCTACCCGGTCCTCGACCCATTTAGTTGGATCTGTCGGTGCCTTCTTCTTCCGGATGTGAGTCTCCATGAAGAACTCATCATGGCTCATCTTCCTCCCTAATTTTTTTTCCTACAAATATAATAAACGTGTTAACGAAAGTTGTACCTATACTAGCATTTTGTTGTAAAAACGGAGTGCAATTTAAGAGATAGAAATTTTAAGTAACTAGATCCTTGAGAGAAACATAGAATCAAAAATACAACATGAAGCTGAGATTATATGGAGTCCACTTGAGCTTCACTGATTATCCCCTGTAAATTGGTTTTTCTTTCAGTGAGTGGATTGATGATTTCAAATTGTATATAAATTTCGTTCATCCAGCTAACAAACTAACCACAGTCAACTATCAATCCATTAAAATGCACACATATTGTATGGCAATATATATATATATATATATATATATATATATATTATATATATATATATATATATAATATATATATATTATAATATATATATATTAATATATAAGCAAGGAAGCTAAACAAAAACAACCTCATTTAGTATAAATATGTAGTCACGTAACTCTGCAGTTAATAATATATACCTCTTAGATTTGTGGTGTTTTTCACTTTTTACATCATAAATTAAAACTTTTAAGTAAGAAAATAACTTCAAAGGAGGAGGATTGGAAAATCTGTGAGTTAATTCAAGAATCCATATATATAAAGTGATAAAGCCCATTTTAGTAACTTAATTCAAGTCTGTCAAATCAAAAACCAAACTTGACTATAAAGAAAGCAGACCCTTATGATTTTATAACTCCTAGAATTTGTCTAACTTTAAATAGCTAGTAATTTCATGTGGAAACAGAAAAACCATAATAGCTGTAAATAGAAAATCTGAATATAACAGTAGTTTTCACTTTTTCAGATTAAACTTTTAAAGAAAGCATTTTGCTTTTTAGGGAGTTTTTCCACATTGATAAAATTATTTACTTTATCAAAAAGAAAATAGCATGTTGATAACCCAAAACATCAAGGGTTTTCATTTTCAAACTTAATACATGCCTACAGAAAACTAACATGT